TCGTTTGGGCATTCTGTTACGTGTTCACCCTCATCCGAGCTCCTCTCCGTTCGACTCCAAGTCTCCCAGTCCCCCAAACGTCTCTCTCATGCTGTTAAACACGTACTTCAGACTGGTGCTGACTGCCTCTGTTGTTCCCAGCCACCAGAGTAGAGCGGTGTTCACCGTCAGAAGGAACTGAATGATGGTATAGTTGCGCAGAAACCAGCCGGTCCAGCCGGCGAGGGTTTCGTCAGCAGGGTCGTCAGCAGGGTCGTCAGCAGGGTCGTCAGCCAGCGCTGGGTCCGAGTCGGTGGATGAAGTTGCTGGAGATGATGGTGGAAGAGGCGTTAGAGCCTTGGAGGCGGCTGCAGCGCCACGACGACGATCCATTGCTAGCTGTCTTCCGAACACCTTTCTTGTGAGGACGACGCTAAGCTTATAGAAATCGGCAAACACCAGATACCATCTTGCTAGGGAACCGAATCACATGTGGTATTTCCAGAAAAAAAACTCGCCGTATAACTTCAATAATGAACTCAGTCCAGTATATGATAGCTGACTTGATCAAATCATCCGCTGTTCTTCGAGGCCCAATACACCGTCTTCAAAATGTGCACTCTTAACTCTCAGCCACCTTTCAAAAACAGCAAGTGCACCGCTTCACCGCAAAAACCGTATCACCAATTTTCAATCACGTTTGCGCGTCCACGAACCCTCACGACTTCGTCACATTATCTTCAGAGACGAACAAAAGCACCGTCTTTCAGGACACCCACACGAGGAGATAGCAGACGCGGCACTGGCAGCCGGGCCAGCTCTGGTCGAGGAAGCCACACGGCACACCATCAATCCTGTTACCGCTGAGGTCAATCGATTGCTTACCTGGCGTGCCACTCAGAGATTATGACGGCACAAGTATAATTTTCTGGATACCACTTAGTGGCCGGGTACATAGTTGCCCTATACATATTGAAACATTCAATGGAGATAGCCGCAAATATTCTTACTTTTTGTTATCCTACTATATACACAAGAAACGTATAGCATCATTATTTTTATTATACTTATTATTTCATATTCCCACTAACCACCATTCGGTGGGCATTACTGAGGGAAACACATTGGCACACAAACCATATACATACAATACAGGCAGCGCAGTGCCCTGTCAATCATAAGGCACGTATAACGAAATCAAAATGCAGAACAAAAGCGATTTTCTATAACAAAAAGTTTGATAACATTATAAATAAACATTATGACATTGTAGGTATATATTATGTCAATACACCTGTAAACTGATTACCGAGCAGAATACGCTTCATAGATAAGAATTCTACAATACAGTCGAGCCCATCACAGCTGGTTCTCTCTGTGTCTAACCTTCCTGCCAGGACGACACTGTATATCACCGCTAAGGCCGCCCGGTGGGCAGCACCCACGGCCCGGCCGGCAGCGGGACACCGGCACGACAGGCCGTGTCCGGACGCTCCGTAGTGAACCGCACTCCACGAAAATAGAGCTCAGTTGGCTGCTGAGGGTAACTCGTTATCGAGTATCTTGGGTGTGCGGTGGTAGGGGGCCGGTGGTGTCCCGTGGTAGCGGGCCAAGAGTGTCCCGCTGTTGGGTGCCGGTAGGGTCCAACTGTTGGGTGCCGGGAGGGTCCCGCTGTTGGGTGCCAAGAGTGTCCCGCTGTTGGGTGCCGGGAGGGTCCAACTGTTGGGTGCCGGGAGGGTCCCGTGGTAGGGTGCCGGGAGTGTCCCGCTGTTGGGTGCCAAGGGTGGCTCGTTGTCTGCATCCATGGTCGTTCTGTTGTTGCTGGGTTCCAGGGGTAATCAGAGGCTCGTCGCCACTGGGACTCTCTGGTCGGGCCCCAGGAGTCTGTAGTTCGTAGTTCGTAGTCTGTGGTCTGTAGTTCGGAGTCTGTACTCTCTGTGGTTCGTCTCCAAGGACGGTCTGTTGTGGGGTTTTCAGTTGCAGCGTTCCAGTCTTCCCAGGGGTTATTCGTGGTCCGTGGATATTGTCTGGTTGCTCCCCAAGGATAACTAGTTGTTCCCCAAGGATAACTAGTTGTTCCCCAAGGATCACTACTCGTACCCAAAGGAGTACTGGTTGCTCCCCAAGGATCACTACTCGTACCCAAAGGAGTACCAGTTGTTCCCCAACGATCACTATTCGTGCCCCAAGGTCCGCTAGTCCTTCCCCAGGGTCCGCTAGTCCTTCCCCAGGGTCCGCTAGTCCTTCCCCAAGGTTCCCCAGTCCTTCCCCAGGGTCCGCCAGTCCTTCCCCAAGGTCCATCAGTCCTTCCCCAAGGTTCCTCAGTCCTTCCCCAAGGTTCCTCAGTCCTTCCCCAAGGTCCACCAGTCCTTCCCCAGCGTTCTGTTGTCGTCCAGCGATGTTGTTTTGCCGTTCCCCAGCCTCCGACCGTCAGTCCCAGTGGCTGCCGAGTTGTCGGTGCATAGGACCCCCGTCTCGTCACCCAGGGTCCACCAGTTGGTCCCCATGTCCACGGTGCTGCAGTTGTTTGTCCCCAGCCCTGCCACATAGGAGCCCGGTCCGGGACCGCCCTAGCGTTCTGAACCTCCTCCATTTGACAGATAAAGTACAGCCGTTCCTCGCAACGACGGCCGGTCCAGAGGCTGTCTCTGCCGTCTTCTGCAGAGATGGAGACACATTGTTCACCAAGTTCTTCGGCTGGCTCCCCAATGTCGGGGCTCCAGTTCTGGTAGTCGAGTGGCGAGCCGTCGGCCCATGTCCAGTTTGAGCTGTCCTCGTGTCTGGAACCGAACAAATACCGTTGAAGTGGCAATCTTAGGATATACCTACCTTTGAACAGGAGGGCAATGTGATGTAAAAATACGGTGATAGCGTATGAAAGTGCTTCCTTTTACAATGATAAGTGAGAACCGCCCAAGGCCACATTAACTGCACTAACATACTTATGCTTTGAAAAAGTAATATTGCTAATATCAAATCCAGCTTAGCACATACTGGTGGTTAAAGCAGTACGTACACAAATGTATTCTCATGCCGAAGCAAATGAGGCGGGAAAGACAATCGAAGCAAAGTCTGGCAATACAAAACACAGCAGAGGAGAGTACATTCGAAAGAGGGAATAATTGGGAGTGACGAGAGAGAGAGAGCGAGAGAGAGAGAGAGAGAGAGAGAGAGAGAGAGAGAGAGAGAGAGAGAGAGAGAGAGAGAGAGAGAGAGAGAGAGAGACGAGTAGGTAGGGAACACAAATCTCACCTGAGCAATCCAATCCACGTATCTTGCCAGGCCAAGCTCCTGATGAAGCTGTCTTCCTCCTCACTATGTACAGAAACTGGTCGTGCACCGGCAGCAGCCACGTGACAAAGTTCTCTGACATCCCCCCAGCGGGCGGTGCAGGGCGAACTCCAGTAGCAATGGCCATTGAACCGGTGCCAGTCCTTGTAGGGACAGAACGACGAATCGGACGAGTCTAGATGTCCAGGAGAGACGGTGAAATACGACGAGTTGGTGATGGCCGCTGGGCTGCTGGGCGCTTCAGATGTGGGATCGGGGTGTGAGGAGGTGCTGTCAGCCTCCCCAGACGAGCGGTCGCTGTTTGCAGACGAGCGGCGAACTCCTGAAGTCGGCTGGGGAAGCTGAGTAGTGTAGCCAGACGGAGCTCCAGAAGAGATCACCGTCAGAAGAGATATCATGACCAACAGCCGCATCATTATAGATAACAGTCCTCCATCTGAAGATTCCATGGCTCCAACAGGAGCGCCAACAAAACACACAATCTGCAAACACTTGAGGCACTAATCCAAATAAAAGCCGACGGACCACTCGTAGCGAACAGATCCAACTGTTTGACGGGACCAGCAGAATAAGTAACCTCGTCGCCAGTTCTGAGGACCACCCTCCTACGATTCACAGCGGGTATCGCTTTATACCGATTGTCTGCGGCCCGGCGCTGAACTGTGAAGCCGGGCAAGCGATCGGTAATCCCGTTAGTGCCAAGGCCAGTCTCAGTCTGGGAGCTGACAGGTCAGAACTCAGATGTGATTCTCCCAAGTCACTTCTGGTTGAAAAAGTCATCACTGGTTGAGAAAGCCTGGCCTGTGTATGGGTGAAGGATCAAACAACGTTAGGTCGCTTAGCAGTTAAAGTGCTCACGCAATTCCTCTTTATCCGTCCCTTACCCAGAATCTTTGTTTTGAGAGAATGGAGTAAATAACGACACGGCCATATTAACTTTGATTTCAATGTGCACAAAATAAAACTATCAATAAAGTCAAATATATGACAGAGCAGATATATTGGACAGGTATGTAGTAAAGAGCCAGTAGCCTACGAACATATTCAAGGTAATACTCGTATACGTAATAAACGATAATATACGTAACATACGTAATAGACGAATATATTACGAATTCACGCTTATTTATCTGTAATTGTTTCTTGAATATTTTCGTAGGCTACTGAGTACTGGCTCTTTACTACATATGAAAGAGTATTATGCAATAATCAAGGTGTAATCAAAATTTCCGTATCGTAAGCATCCAATCACCACCACACCGAGATAGTGCGCAAGTCAGCCTCACGCTAAGTCGTCAGTCAGACAAGTTTTCAGGCTTTCCTTCTTTTCCTCTTCCTCTCCCCACCATGATTGGTTTACAGACACCTCATGTCTTCTACGTTCTAGTTAGATAGTTCAAAGTCCAATCCACAATCTTGTTAGCATTCGTCCCATACCTGTGTTCAACTCATTTATCAGTTAGCAACGGCCGCAATGATTGTGCATTATCTCTTTCGGACAAGCATAGCTGCGAATATGTTTCAGTAGTCCTGAAGTTTATACCTACTTCAGTTTTATCGCCTGATAGGTTCTGTGGCGGGTAATGCCTACCGAACTTTGGACAAGCTGTTATGTTCAGAATCCCTCCCAAGGTGTTGCACGAACCTTGCCTTAGATAAGAGCAGACACACGGTCCGCCGCACCACAACTAGGATCCTTCTGCTTCCCAGAGTTATTATCAAATCACGAATGTTACAGATTTCATTTATTATTGCAATTGTGTTGAGCCAGCATGAATACAGACAACAGAGCTGTTCAGATGTAGAGCCAATCAGAAATGGATAACAAATTTGGCTAAAATCGTTTTCATGATACATATCAATAAGCGACTTTTATGAGCGAATTGTACATTGCAAAAACGTTGGTAAGCGAAACATCCACTATGGTATAATTCCACAGGATGTGCCAGGACAATCAATTTTGATTTAGCGCTCGCTTAAATAATCTAGACGCATGATAACGCAATCACAAAAGCTGTATTTAAAACCACATATCTTGGTAACAAATCGATGCTCTTACCCACAATATGCCTAGACTGCGGAATCGCCATGATGTAGTGGGCACTCTAGCCTTCTATTTCATCGATTTAGGAAAACCGGCCTGAACAGTGAACACCTCTCCTATCCCACCACATCCAATTCAGCCTCTTTGGTCACAGGCATCACATTCACTTCTTCCTTGTCCGCAGTCACCGGTATCTCTTCTACTTCCCTCCTCTCTGCCTTTTTCAGTTCCACCCCCTCCCCACCCTCTTCTAGCTCCGGTCTCCTCTTGTCGTTGTCTTCCTTCCCTTCCTTCCTCCAGTACGGGTAGTCTGAAGTCGTGTGCCACCAATCTGTGGACGTCTCGGCTCCTGTGGTAGGCGCCTCGCTGGACGTCGGCCACGGGTACCGGGACGAGGGCCTCTCCGGCGTGGTGGGCTCCCGGGTACCCTCAGAGGTACACGGTGTACCCGTCGGGCGCTCAGACGTGTACGGAGGGTCGCTGGTTGGCCAGTACGGGTGTCTAGTGGTCGGCCACCAGGGGTACGTGGTCGTCGAATGCCAGGGGTATCTAGTGGTGGGTCCCCATGGGTCCTTTGTGGTGGTATCCCATGGTTCTCGGGTTGTTGGCCACCACGGGTATCTTGTGGTCGTATCCCACGGATCCCTGGTGGTTGGACTCCAAGGATCCCTGGTGGTTGGACCCCAAGGATCCCTGGTGGTTGGACCCCAAGGATCCCTCGTTGTAGGCCACCAAGGGTATCTTGTGGTGGTATCCCACGGGTATCTCGTTGTAGGACCCCACGGATCCATGGTGGTAGGTCCCCACGGATCCCTGGTGGTCGTATCCCAGGGTTCTCGAGTTGTAGGACCCCACGGATCCCTGGTAGTAGGACCCCACGGGTTCCAAGTCGTACTCTCTGGCTGGTCGGTGGTCGGCTCCACCTTCATCTCCACGTGACAAATAAAGTACAGATCCTCTTCACAGCTCCGCGCGCTCCAAACATTATCGGCAACGCTCATGCACTGATCGCTGGGGCCACTGTGAGAGCCCCTGGCGAAGTCGTATGGCGTTCCATCCGACCACTTCCAGTCCTTGGTACCACCATACCTGCCGAGAGACGCGTGGGCGACTCAGCGCATTAGGTAAATCTATATAAATGTCACAGCCTAAGTCAGCTGCGCTGCTGAGATAATGAGTAACAGGAGAAAACGTGCTTCTCAGTATATCATCTCATAAATTTCGGCGCTGTGGTGAATCTGGAACAAAAAAGACTGAGCTTGGCCCAGTTTAGGCCTGGCCCGGCCCACCCCGCCACAGCAATTTATCTCCTGCACAAGATAATATATGCTTAGAAAACCATCACGAATTAGCCGTTTTCACGACGGGCTGTCTGGTGAAACAACCTTATTTGACCAAATCTGCACCTAATCTCTTTTACAGCAAATATCTTCATTTTATGAATTTATTTCAGTGTTTTAATCGATGATACTCTCTAATGACAAAGCAGGCATATAAGCAATTAGCGCAACCCTAACTGATAGCTACTAAGAGATACACTGAACCTAATTTGACAAAATCTGCACCAAATGTGTATCAGATGGCCGACGTGAAAACGGCTATTATCTCCTGAACCAAATCTGTTCGCTACCGCTGTCCAATATCTATATTCACTTACACGCAATTTCATATGCCTGGCGCTAATTCATATACGTGCTACACAAACCAATCCAGCATCACTTCGAACGTACCTTTTGAGACCAATCCAGGAGTCACTCTTCGCCATTCCCGTCACAAAGTAGTTTTCATCATTATTATGAATCGACACGGGCCTGGCATCGGCGTCGACAAGCTGACACAGATCCCCGATGATCCTCCAGGGCGCCACAAACGTCGAGCGCCAGTAGCAGCGTCCCTGGTACGGCCGCCAGTCGTCTCCGGGACACGTGCCGCCGTCAGCAGGTGTGGAGGTGTAGTAGGAGTGAGAGCGAGTCGGCGCACAGAGAGCGGCCAAAAGGAGGACTAGAGGGAGTGCCGGGGACATGGTGGAGAGGAGGGGCCCTCAGCGGGCCTCAGCGGGCCTCAGCGGGTCTCTGCGGGCCTCAGAGACAAGCAGAAACTCAGCCGAAGAATGGTGAGCAGAATAGAACGGGGAATTACGGAAAATGCAAGACGGGGAATCTAGAACTGGTAATGAACACAGTACGCGATGCGGTGACGCTAGGGAAGGTATGGCAGGGGGCGTCGAAAGGACGAGCGCAGACGACCTGACCCCACTGCAGCCGAGCCGCCTCTGATCTCCCGAACGGGGGAGTCATGGGCGAAAACCCACGTCAGATGACTTAAGACGCCATCAACTGATAAGAAGTTGGTTTGCTAAGCTAAGTAAATAAGTTATCACTGATAGTGTCTCCCTATCAGACATTGAGGGCCGCGGAGTGTTTGCGGGAGTGATCTCAATTCTCAGAACAACATCAAGGAGCCGTTGGCAGTAACACTGAGGGCGCCTAGAAAGCATGGGTTGTGCCTTATCGTCAATCAGGTATACGTAGGTACCAAACGCACCAGCACACCTGACGTAATGAAGTAGGTACGCAGATCTGCGTACCTGCAGATATAGGTACCCTGCGCTTGGTGCCAAACATGAGGCCTATCAGACATATCTGCTCGATGCCCGGTGGAACCGACAGAATCGTCAAAACGTTTACCGTGGAGGGACATGCATGGTTGATATGAAATTTAACGAGGGATTTGATTTTTAAGCGCAGTCTACCAAGTAGCCCTCCCTCCTCCATGTCCGCTGGCCAATTAATGCACCAGAGTCGTCTATATGTCTCGTGCATTTCTCAGAGCGCTCCGCCACCTACAAACTCTGCTCAGACCGAGTCGCGACCGCAGCACCACCTGCCGTCAGAAGTCTGAAACACACAGGCGTGGTGTTTCCAGCTCCGTACGGTGGCGACACGTAGCGGTAATTCTTGGAACTACGCTCCTCCGCCTGGTGATCGTACTTACCGAATCAAGCGACTGAGCCGTCCACCCGGCACCCACTGCCCGGTGTCCAGTCCTTATTGGCAACTGGCAATGGCATTCCCACTTTCATCATCCCTCTTCGTTGGACATGATAGCTGTAAAACATCATATTATTGCAAATTTGCCAAAACAATGCAACGTTTCTAGGCCATCTTTCGAGGCTGTTATAGCGTTGCAGAGACCATATGACCTGCACATAGGTTAGCGGAACTGTAAAATGATCTGTAGGCATGTGTAGAGCTGGTTATGGTATATCTATCCCCTTAAACAATTTCTGACCAACCGAAAGTCTGCAAATGCCTGCATGCCGTCATGGATATAGTTTTATTATGCTGACGGAGTTCAGTTGATTTATTTAGGTATGCAGAGTGAAAATCCATTTTGGAAGACAAGCGTGTCTGAAGTCCATTACAACGGAAGAGTAGGTTTCGCGCCCGTCCTCCCTGAATCGCACCACTGGTCTCTGGAGACGACCCTGCCCCACCCCTGCACCCCGCTGGGGTCGCCGCTGACCCCCCCCCCCCCCCTTCATGGCCCCGGCTGCAGGCTGCAGCTGGCCCCGCGTCCGCTCATGCAACTGGGGGCCATCAGCCCAAGAGAAACGACCGCGCGCTGTAAGCATGAAAAATGGCGCATCCGCTGCGGCCAGCCGCCCCCGATCCATCACCGCCGACGGGCCATCCGTTAGCCGGAAAAATGACGTAACGAGCGACGATAAATAACGCAACAATGGCGGGCGGCCGGCGGCACAAACGACGCGCCACCGTCCCCGAGGAAAGGCACCCACTGAGATATGGCAGAATGTGTCCATCGGACAAGTGGTTTACTTTTAAAATTTACAAGCACGAAGTTTTGTTTTTAAGTAGGTACCTATTTTTTACTATTTTCAGTTATTTTTTTCATCTTTAAATTTTAATTACCTTATTTTTCATTGAATGCTATCATTAGACGTTAAGAGCACCGTCTGAGTCCTGACTTCTGATTAATCTATCTCCTCTCCTCTCCTCCATCTATTAATATTTAATATTCCAACTGAAGCCAACTTCTCAATTTTTTCTTCCTTGCTCCTATAATCCTACCTGCCTGTCATTTCTAATCGACCGCTCTAACTTTCTCACCTCACTTTCTCACCTTCCTTCTGACCTCAAACGCTCTCTCACCCCTCCTAGAGCCAGCCGCCGTTACGGGCTGGCTAACCGGGCAACTTGCCTTCGATCCGCCAATGCCATCTTGAAAAATCGCCCCTCAGCGCATCCCCAACGAGCCATAAATTCCTCTTAGTTTGGCCGCCGTCGCCGCCGCCGCCGACGAACTACTGCACTCGCCTCGCCTGCGCCGTCGTTCGCCGCCTCGTAATTTTGGCGCCAAGACCGTTTTGGCGCGAGAATGTGCGCCGGCGTTGTTTAGGTGACAGTCGCGGCGCGGATGAGCCGAATCCGAAACGGGCGCCTTTTTGCGCGGCGAGTAACGTCGGCCATTTTTAAAGGGCCGCCGCGCGTTTCGGTCGTAAACGGCTCCCGGTGCGACACCTATCGGGCGGTGACTGAATTAAACGGCGCCGTAACCGGCTCGTAACCAGGCGGCCAATGGGCCCGTGGCGAGGCCGTAAAGGGACGTAGCGAGGCCGTACTGGGACGTAGCGAGAGGCAGTGGGACGTAGAGGGTCGGGTGGGGACGTAGTAGCACGTATGAGAACGTAGTGGACGTATCGATGCAGTGGTGGTTCGTAGCGGGAGATGTAACTAGTGAGACAGTGGACGTACTGGAACATGGCAGGACGTACTGGACGCATTTGAGAAGTACTGGACGTACTTGGGACGTAGTGGGACGTATTGGAGACGTAGTGAGATGCAGTGGGGAAGAAGTAAGCCCTAGGATATGAACCCCAGCGTTGCATAAAAGGCAGCATTTTATTTATAATATACTCAGGACACAGGGTGTCACCTATAAAAAACGGCTGCCTAGCTTCAATGATCTATGAACATCAATTCTCGTCTGAGGTTATATATTTGCCATGCCCATCGCATGGAGGCCGCCGGTGACATATTTCATCCACCGGCAACGCGTCCCTTTGTGTGAGCGGCCGGCCGTCACCGCGACTCCAAACATCAATACTTTATTCCAAATAAAATTCCAATCTCCTAAATCAGGCCCAATCTCAAATCTATTGAGAAATCCAATAGCGGACCCTTTCAGCCGGTTAGCGTCGATAGAGGCGAGTTTCCCGGGACGGAGCGCGGAACTATCGCCCTTACGTACCGGGCGCTGCCAGCCACCGCGGAGCGACTTCAATTTGCTTGGCTGTCGAACTCAAAAGATGCAAATTCCCCAGTTTGCAAGTCGGCTGTCAGAGTCAGTCGCGGAACTTTGCCGGCGCTGTCGGGCGCCGTCGAAACCGACGGCTCTCAAACGTCGACGGCGACGGCTCTCAAACGTCGGTGGCGACGTTTTCCGACGACAGCGCGACGCGGCATGTCAATTGGAGCGGGAATTGATTGGAGAGGGAGGGAGGGGAAGGAGAGAGATAGAGAGAGAGAGAGAGAGAGAGAGAGAGAGAGAGAGAGAGAGAGAGAGAGAGAGAGAGAGAGAGAGAGAGAGAGAGAGAGAGAGAGAGAGAGAGAGAGAGAGAGAGAGAGAGACGGGCACGCAGAGTAAAAAAAAGATCCGAAAATATTTTACCTGAGGTCGAGAGGAAAAGCTGCTAGTCATTGACACATGTTTTTGGATTGGTAGAAATGATTTTAGAGCGGTGATGTAAAAACGCCCCAAACCAATGCGCTTTTTTATTCTGCAAATAAATAAATAACGTAGGCTAAGTGACATATCAACAGGCATACCATCTGACATCTATAGTCCAAAAGATAGAAACAGTCATGGTCCTTTCTAGGTCTGGCTCGCTCTGACCCTTTGGCTCTCTCTCTCTCTCTCTCTCTCTCTCTCTCTCTCTCTCTCTCTCTCTCTCTCTCTCTCTCTCTCTCTCTCTCTCTCTCTCTCTCTCTCTCTCTCTCTCTCTCTCTCTCTCTCTCTCTCTCCCTCTCCCTCCCTCCCTCTCGCTCTCGGAGGCGTATTCAGTATTTTATCTGGCCGTCCCTGTCGTTCCATCCGCGTGCAGCGACATCCAATGGCACGACAGGGAAAACGAACAACACCCGGGAGAAAGGCCGTACATCGACGGCACCAGATTAATCGGACAAACTCGAGGTGAACCGGACCGACCAGAGATGAATGAGACGAACCAGGGATGAATGAGATGAACCGGAGATGAATCGACCAAACCCGTCATAAAACGGTGCGGGATTGCCCTTTTAGAAGGGGTAATGAAATAGTAAGTCTCGTCCGACTTAAAGCTACAGACCAAGAATCGTGCTAAAAGACTGGCGAGCATCAAACTCAACATCAATGACAAAACCAACAGTGGCAAAATCAAGGACACAATCAGAATCAAGCTACCTTAGCAGGTGGAATCTGAGTCGTAATATGACACCACAGCGACAAGGGTATCCTGCTGGATTTCATCACGCGCTGATCAAGGCCCTGCGCTGATGTTCAAACCAAGATACCTATAAGAAACAGGTAGGTCCGATGTTTTGAGTAAAGCCCAGTAAAGCCCTGGTGACGTCACTGACATTTCTTATATGGAGAATTTCGCCCATAAGGAAAATATTTTACATACGGAAATTTGTATTTCATTAGGAAAAAATACATTCTTTCAATTTCATCATGAAACTTATATAATTTAATTAAAAAACTTGAAATCCTTTGAGTGCTTGGTCCCAACCCCTGCTATACCTTTGGTCACGTGACTTCCATGATAAACTTTGCGTTTTGCAATGTTATGACTTAAACAGAAGCAATAAATGTTACAAGCGTATTATTTATGATGTTTTAGGCAGCAATCGTGTAATAACATCCTTGAATTATATACATTCTGCTTAAAAGAGGTCACGTGATGTTACCAGATTGTGCTCGGACAGCATCTTCTTGAACTTCGATTTTGAGTACTTTTTACCTTCATTGAGTCCTAATAACGGACGTTTTTAGTTATAAAATGAAGCAATGAATCTATTGAGGGCAAAATTTAATCATTTTTGCACTTTCAAGCCGGGCTATCCTGGCATGAACTTCGGCCGGTTTGTGTGTGAAGCCTATGGTGAAGGGAAAACTTCACGCCCGGCTGACGTCACAGACCTCGGCTACCAAATCGTGTCCGGTGGGGGTCGGTTCAAACTGCGTGTTCATAGCTAGCTTTGATGGAGCATAATCAAAGCTTATCGCGGGTAAATGATATGTCTGCTTTGATGGATGCATGTGTGAACTACATGTGTG